ATTTACTGTCTTCAGAAGTAGGTCAACGACAGTAAAAAAAAAAAAAATTCGTTATGATAGAAGTTTTAGACCGTCCCTGAGTCCACCCAACACGTTAGGGAAAGTAAAGGCGGCTGGGCATAGTACTGACTACATTACTCTTCATTATTATGCCGAGGTCACAGAAACAAGTGAACTCTACTTCACTTGCCCTGTAGACCGTCAGGTTTGAAAAGGGAACGTTTTACTTTATGATAGAAGTTAAGATCGATATTTTAGACTTTAAGTGGTACTTTTCCGTTATCAGGTACCGGAGCAGCAACTATGTCTAGTATTGAAAACAAGACTAGCCTAATCCACAATGATTCTAGCCTTAATCCTAAACAAACAAAAAACAAAAACAAAACAAAAAAACCTCGCGTTTTTTAACACTAAATTTTACAAACGTACCCACACAAAAATGCAAGGCGACGAACTTAATCCACCTGAACCCGTATTCTTAAAAACTGGGATTAACTAATCTCTACCGGGTCAAAGGCTAATCCTCTTGCTAACGCGGAGATAATGCTCTGGTGAGATACTGGTGAGATAGACGCTGGATGACGGGGGCCTCTAGCTAAACTACACTAAGATACGAATGGATAGCAGTTGTAGTACGAGATGGTATAGTAGTGAGGTGAAGGGAAGCATAAGTAACCTGGGCTAAAATTTACATAAAATTCTTAACATTTTTAGTCAATTCATGACCAAAGGAAACGTGTTTTATTGAGTTTATTTATTTTTTAACGTGGGAGAGGTTTAAATCTAAAGCCGGCTTAAGGCGCCGATATGTGCTGAATCTTCATATTTTAATATGTGTGCTGGAGGGTTTAGAAAAAGTGCTGAATAAGGGGAGACAACGATGCTAAAGGGTATGTAACAAATCACCAAAAGGGAGATAACTAATGACGCTGGGGGCAGATAATCAAAATAATTATGAGTTAGTCTAGTCACTAGACTCTAGTGTCGCCGTAAACCTATTTTTATCTGTCGGGTATATCCGATTTTTTTTTTACCTTGTCTTGTGTTTTAGTATTCAAACCCTGAGTTAACCCTTACTCTATCTCTGACCTAAACCTGAATTTTTAAAAATCCACCCCTAACCCTCCACCTTATCGAGACTCCATTCCCGACCACAGATAACAACAACGATACTGGCAAGGAAAATGATGCCATACTGTATTACCCTGCCGTCGTTTTCACATGACCCCACAATTCTAATTCACCTCACCCTCGGAATACAAAATAAAACCTCGACCATAATCAAAAACAAGTTTGGCCACACACGCGAAAAAAATCTGGCACATAGAATCCCGAGGAGCTGACCCTAATTCTCCTCGGAGATAGCTTGTGCGGACCTACGAGAAAACAACCAAACAATCTCGGGTCCACGGAGGCGAAATCTCGTTAGTCAATTTTCCACGAGAGAGAATTCCCCCCTCGGGGGGACAAGAGCGGCAACTCAAGCTGAAATTGACTAGCGAGATGCGATAAATATGTAAGTAACGGAAAGAGAATAAATGTTCTAGCAATGTCTTGTCTTTATGTCAGAATTTTACCCTTTCGGACCAATCGGTCAACGGGACAGGTGAAGTAGAGTCAATCGACAAATATTTAAGCAACGGAAACAGAATAAATGTTCTATCAGTGCCTTGTCTGTATCTCACCCTTTCGGACCAATCTGTCAGCAGTGCAGGGGAAGTAAAGGTAATCAAATCTCAGTTACCTCTATAGGGCTGTTAAGTAGGTCACCAAACAGTTCTACGGCTCAATAAAACCTACATTAGCCAAATTACTGGTTGGTGACCTACTTACCAGCCCTATATTGGAGGGGGGTAGTTTGGTCTTCAAAGTCAGAAAACAAGCAAAACAAAATATTTCAGGACTGCTGTTAGTATTTACTTCCGGAGGGCCGTGACGCTATTTCCGATACACGAAAAACAATCTAATTGTCTTAATGTTGCCGCTATTTAAAGCATAATACATACTAGTACACGAGAACGGTATTTTGTTTTTCGGTCTGAGAATGAAAGTATTGAATTATCGCTCACGTGACGTCATCGCGACCTTTAAAGGTGAGCGGAGCGTGCCGGGATCTCGCGCTGAGGCTCACGATCCAAAGGTCAGGGTAGAGGTGTTCCGGGCAGAGCACGGGACGGCGCACGATAATCCGGAAGGTGAGGAGGGATTAACAGTAGCCGGCAAATTTTAACAGTAGCCCGATATCTGAAGTCGAATGGCCCCGGGGTTGCACGTGCAAAGGGCAAAGGTTGTGGCGAGTGTAGCAGCACGAACAGGAGGGCCGAATGTGGCAATGGTCATGGGTGCACTTGTGTTTAACTTTCAGTGGGTGCATAGACGGATCTAGGGACTGTGGATACATAGGCGAATCTAAGGAATGTTGATACATAGGTGGATCTAGGGTCTGTGGATACATAGTTGGATCTAGGGACTGTGGATACATAGGTCGATCTAGGGACCGTAGATATTGGCGGATCTTAGGGACTGATGAAACATAGCGGAAATAAGGACTGTGGATTCATATGCGGATCTAGTGACTGTGGATACATAGATGGATCTTGGGACTGTGAATAAGCCTATATAGGTGGATCTAGGGACTGGATATATAGGTGGATCTAGGGACTGGATATATAGGTGGATCTAGAGACTGTGGATAGGCCTACACATGTCAATCTGGGGTCTGTGTATAGATGGATCTAGGTACTGTTGATACATAGGCGGATCTAGGGACTGATGAAACAGCGGAAATAAGGACTGTGGATACATAGGCGGATCTAGGGACAGTGGATAGGCCTTCACAGGCGGTGATGGTAGATCTGATGGTACGACTGATGGTACGGTGATGGTGAAGCTGAAGCTACAGATGGTGCTGGTCTCTCTTTAATTGACAACCCTGTCCATCTCATGCAGCACTAATCCACAGACGCCGAGACCGTGACCGGCCGACCGGTCAGCCGGTCCTACGGCCCAGTGTGCGTGTGGTCCATGCGATGACCGGGATTTAGGGCTTCAGACACTGATATTGGAGCCACACCCACACACCCACACACCCACACGAACTGAATAGTGCTCAATACAGTCTGAAACTAAACCTTCACTTCCGGCCAAGATTTTCCATTTCCGGTCCACACCCGCTCTGTCTAGTGACGATGCGCAGTTTTGTGTGGGTGAAGCTTTCAAAATCAGATACATGACTGAAGTCATACTTGACTCTTACATGACTGAAGTCATACTTGACTCTTACATGACTGAAGTCATACTTGACTCTTACATGACTGAAGTCATACTTGACTCTTACATGACTGAAGTCATACTTGGACTCTTACATGACTGAAGTCATACTTGACTCTTACATGACTGAAGTCATACTTGACTCTTACATGACTGAAGTCATACTTGACTCTTACATGACTGAAGTCATACTTGACTCTTACATGACTGAAGTCATACTTGACTCTTACATGACTGAAGTCATACTTGACTCTGATGTCCAACAAGTCAATTCTAGCATTTATTTTTCAGGCAACTCTCCGGGAGTTGCCTTTTCCCTTCCGGGGGGGGGGGGAGAAGACAGAGACAGGGAAAGAGGGCACCTCTTTATCTGAACTAATTATTTTTAATTTTATATTAAAACAGAGAAAAGTGTACTTTTACCGTAGCCCCCACTCCCGTACTTCGAAAGTTTCAAATCTCCTTCAATCCCTCACCCCACCCTCACCCCAGAGCAAAAAAGTCTGAACGAAAACCTGAGCACTTTGTTTAATTGTGTATTGGCGGCTATATCGCCCTGTGTGTTTGATGAAGCCGTTTTTTGACACCGAGAATTGACAAGTATTGTCCTATCTTGACGTGAACCAGTTGAACTAACAAGTTTTTGACAGCTTCGTCAAAACATCACAAGCATGTGGTGTTTTGTTTTTACTTGTTAGCTAGTTGTATGTGTCGTACCGCTGTCCACAATAATGGTATAAAGTCGTCTTTTAAAAAATCGCTTAATTTCATTAATGGACGTCACTGAAATTTTAACTCTTAGTACTAATCCTAATTTTAACCGTAAATTATACCTAGATATAACCCTTAGAAAAGGCCATACTATCATTCTTTGTAAGGTTAAAAAGTAAAAAGTGAAGTTTCTCTTTCAAACCTTGTCTATAGGGCAAGTGAAGCATAGTTTACTCTCCCTAACGTGAGTTAGGTACCCATCAGAGTTGGGTGGACTCAGGGTCGGTCTACTGACTTGAACCCGGATTCGCACTCGAGACTTACGGGTTAGCAGTCCAGCTCTCTACCCTAGACCACTCCGTCCCAATTTGGTAACGTTAACCGCAACGTATTTTTTAACCACGCCGACCTGTGTATCACGTGATGACCGTAACCACCTGTGTAGTTTTGTTCTCATCTAACCGACAGACAGATGCTGCAGGTAATGATATCACGTGACATACTCTCATTTCCAGATGCGTGCATTCCCAGCATTCGCCTGGCAGGGGGTGGGGGAGGGGTGGTAATACGTCACACGGAGATTAGCCGGCGAAATCCCTCATTAAATACCGTTTGATGTCCCTGGCTGTTGTCGGTGGTCCACAGGTGGTGTGGCTTCACGGTGAGCGCCCAGCGAGGCCGAGTGGTTCAGCCCCCCCCCCCCCACCCACGGGGAACTGGGGTCCACAGGTGGTGTGGCTTCACGGTGAGCACCCAGCGAGGCCGAGTGGTTCAGCCCCCCACCCACGGGGAACTGGGGTTCTGGTTATCTATGACCCTAGACCTAATTCTTGCCCTAGCCCTACATCTGGTTTTAATTATTCTGTTTCCGGATTCGAACTCGAGAGTTTCAGATAAGCAGTCCAGCGCTCTACCTCCTCGGCCACGCCGTACCTTTGAGAATCATATGACCTCTGTTTGAGATCGACAACGGCTTTAACCACCCCTATCCTAGCAGCCAACACGTTACAAAGCCATACCTTCTAGAATCATCTCCTGCGCCATGGCCTATCTGTACCAAGCTTTGTAGATCGTATCTTTTCTGAATTGTCTGACCAAAAATCCCTCGCCATTTTCTGTCTACAATTTGCATTTCTATCCTTTTCTATCTACAAATCTCCCATAGATTTTTATATTAATGTGAGAGAAATATTTATGAATTAGCTCTTTACTAAAACAGGTTTTGTATACCACATTGTGGAGCTGTAAGCTACACTTGTTCATTGAAAACACGACAGGCAGTTTCTTCAATGGAAAAAAAAGCATACAATACAAGCGTAGTCTCAGTCGTGCGCATCGGTGCATCCGGGTGCAGTGAAGTTTATGAATGAATATTTGGTTACCTGATAACCGGTGTATCATCATGACGTTCCGACTTCATTAAAGGGGGGGGGGGGGGATGGGGAGAGGTGAAGTCTTTTTTAGACCGGTGAAAGGTGAAGATAGGACGAGGGCGTTGGTCTGAAGGGTTGATATATAGCAATACAGGGGTTCTTATAATGTGTTAGACGTACCCTATATATATATATAGCAATGCAGGGGTTCTTATAATGTGTTAGACTTATCCTATATATAGAAATACAATGGTTCTTAAAATTTGTTTGACGCACCCAACATAAATAGCAATTCATAGGTTCTTAAAATATTTTTTTTACGTACCCTATATATAGCAATACAGGGGTTTTTAAACTATGTTTGACGTACCCTATATAAAGCGATACTGGAGTTCTTAACACATTTTTGTTAAAAGAATTGAGAGCCCCTAACACCCAAACATACACCATCGTGGGAAAAGGTAATACTAGAAGCACTGAAGTGCTACAAATTTTTTGCCTCCGTCTTAGGGGAGGGCAGGAGGTGGAAAGACACCACCGAGGGGAGACAAAAGAGGCTCCACAAAAGAGGGGACATAATTCAAAGTCAGCTCTTGTAATGTAAACCCGGCTGAGGACAATATCATAGTTTCGTATGGGATGCACGCAAGAGTTGTCGAACATAGCGTACTGAAGGGTTAAATCTGTAGGGGTCGGGGGTCATCTACTGACGGGGTTATAGTTTAAGGGCGGGGATGTGGGGGGTGTCATGATGGGAAACATTTTTAATCAAAATTCGTCAGAGCACGACCTTTTTTCTGTATCAAATTTCGGGGTCATCAAAAATTAAAAGTGGCTCTCGTTTTTGTGATAGGTTCATAGGTCACGTGTTTGCTGGTCACGTGTTTGCTGGTCACGTGACTAATTGGCAAGTGTCGGTCGTCAGGTACAGCTTCTACACACTTTCAGTCAGCATACAACATACATACAGCATACAACGGTATACCACATACAGCGACAAACAGCATACAGTAACATACAACGGCATACTTAAATCCGGCCTATAGCGGAATACAGCACACACCCAGCCAGCTTAAAGCAGCTTAAATACAGCAACCTTCAACATAAACAGCAAACAGCCTACACCGGCATACATCCACATGCAGCGCATCATATACATATTGTACGATACAACATAGGATGTCGTCCAACATGCATCATTTCGCTAGACAGTCAACTGTCTGTCATACAGCAAACCAACCTCTAACGCCCCCACCCCTACACCTTAATCTATCACAGATCTTCATGCTACAACAATCATCCTTAAAAAAAAAAAACACTGACTTCAATTTTAAAACTAATTAAAAACTAATCCCGGGCTTGTAGTTTGTGAAATTGGGATTTCCCGATAACCCCAGAATAAAATAGGACTAGGGACAAAAAGTCTAACTACAGCGGTGGGAAAATGTATTGTATGAAGCAGAAATTTCCACAAGTGTAAGGAGCTGTTGGTGCGAATGTAGGAAAAAAAGTCACAGGAAAAAAAAACAGGAAAAAAAAACACAGAAAAAAAGTCACAGGAAAAAAAGTCACAGGAAAAAAAAGTCACAAATATATGATATTTGTTAATACTTTTATGTATTAAATATTTAGAGAGTGCAAATTAACTTAGGATTAATTATGTAATGTAATGTGTGTAGGCTGTATACGCATTGGAATTTTTATAATTGATCTAAAAATATTTATTATGAAGTATGTAGATTGTAATTATTTTAAACTTAAGATTAGTAGCATTTAATAGAATGCTCCAAAGTCCACGTTTTTCATCGTGTTTTTTTTTTAAATACCAATATTAAATTACCGTGAAATGGTAAGTTCATCTGACTTGCTGCCCTCAACTCATGGCAACAATAGTTATGTTTAGTTCAACCACCTTTACTGCCCACATTTATCACGCTCATTACATAACAAAGCTTAGGATCAAAACAGAAAGCCGACAAGGTTCAAAGGCTGTCATTGACGCATAACGTCAACAACACAAAATATGTTCGGACAATGCCTACTGAGCAGAGGGACTAAATTTCTTTTATAATTAACTTTTCTACCGCGTATTTAACTAAATACATAACAAAAGTTGAGATTGTAGTGTTAATTATCTTAGAGTGTTTTTACTTACAATTGTTATAAATCATAATGCTTTTAACGTCTATAAATAATTTATGCTATCAAAAATTACAACCCACAACAATAAACATACAAAATTTTACAATTCTTAACAAAATAATAAAAATATTTCTAAAAAGATTTTTGTGACTTTTTTTCTGTGACTATATTTCTGTGACTTTTTTTCCGATAAAATTTGTCCACTGTGACTTTTTTTCTGTGACTTTTTTTCCTAGCAAAAACTGTGACTTTTTCTGTTTGTTTTTTTTCCTGTGACTTTTTTTCCGTTCACCGTCTGAACTGGATCAAAGGTAGCAAAAATATGCAGCAAAATAAATTAATTAGGTCTTTATGAAAAGAGGAATGATTGACATTTAAGTATACCCCCTCCCCATTCCCCTTTTTAAAAATATAATTAGCAGATAACGATAATTTTCCGCGCCGTGTTCTGCTGTTTCAGCGAAGTATAAATTAAATCGAGAGAATGCTATTTAAATTTAATTTGTTTTTGAAAAAACGAGAAAAAATAGTTTTATCTGATCTGTAGAACACAAGGGCAGATCACTAATGTAAGTTGCTTCCGCCCCCCCCCCCCCCTCATCATGAGAGCTGTGTCGACAGAGTGTAATAGGGCTGGTAAGTAGGTCAACAACCAGTTCTACGGCTCAATAAAACCTGCATGAGCCATATAACTGGTTGGTGACCTACTTACCAGCCCTATTCACAACTCACAACACGACTGCGAGTGCGCTCCCCCTGGTGGCTGTGTACAGTCTCCGTGTAAATTCGCCCTCACAACACGCCTCGGGCGACAGACGCGCTGTGACCTTGAGCCACCCCAGCTTGGGTTTGACGACGCGACAATAAAAAAAAAAATCGCCCCGGGGACAGACCAACGGTACCCATATACACGCCAAAAGATGCGCACCAAAAACAGACGGGGACGACACTAAAAACACGACGCACCGTTTCACCGTGGTCCTGTCTCTCCAGACAGTGTCTGGTTACCTCCCCTTGACACTAAACTTTAATCCATTCATTAACGCTCGAGTAATCCAATTACCGCCCTTGGTTTAGTTTTTTTTTTAATTCAGTGTACCCACCATTCCCCCCCCCCCCCCTGCGGTAGTATAGCATTCAATCAAGTTTGTAAAACCGCAGCCTTGACAATAGCCAATGAGGGTTTTTTTTAAAGATAAGAAAAACACGTATTATGTTTCCATCTTGCCTGCTTTCAAATAATTTTTTTTCCGTGGAGTTTTCCATTGTACGTCGAGGGAACAAAACGTGGACAAATACTCAGGGAATTTTTTTTGTCAACAAGGGTCCATCAACTTTAATGGCGGCCATTAGTGGTTCGGTCAAGGTGGGCGTGACCAGCGGGAGGAAGCCTTGACGTACAGATACGTCACTTCCGCGATAAGAAGCGATGGACTTGTCAGCGGCGTAACTAGGGTGGGGTAGAACATGGGGTGGGGGGGGGGATCCATCGCTGAATTTATTTTCTCTAAATTGAATGGGAATGTTAAACAATGGAAGTTGGAGTGTGTAACCGCGTCGTTTACTGCGGTGTGTGCGTGACTACCTCCCCCTGGTGCTTCTGATATTGAGTTGATGGTATCATCAACACAACATGGTGGTAAATAATTTTGAAACGTTGTTGGTGCTCATGCTGATATAGGATTAAAAACGAACTTGTGTTTCTTGGCATTTGTAAGTGGGGGGGGGGGGGTTATTTTATTACTGAATCAGTAAAGTCTCAATGCTTAAATGCGTGTCCATAAAGTTACTACCTTGGAATTTCTGGGGTCTTGTTCTAGTTTGACTCCATGGGGTGGGGGGTGTGGGGGTAGCTAATGTATATAACGGATTGTACTGGACATCTACTAGGCATTCTTTGAAAACTGTATAGGTCATTGAATTCGTCTCGTACTAGACATCAAGGTCAACACTCAACAGGTCATCGGTGTGTTGATAAAGTTTGATGTTCTGAAGCCATAGAGGGTTGATGACACATTCATGTTCTGAGGACTTTGAGTGTTGATACCACACTGATGTTCCTGGGCCGTTGAGTGTTGATAAACCGCGCCGATAAAACTCCCGGCATCCATCACGGTTGCCTCCCTCGACTGGAGAGCTTTTAGCGCCGGGTCGTTAAACAAATGAAATTGATTGCGACGAGATTAAAATGCATGGCCAGAATCAATTTGCAGGTAAGTCAGGACTGCAGGTAGGAACAGAATACTTGCAGGTGATCACGTGGTACAGAGAAACGCACTTGACTGGCGTTTTATTTTTATCGGCTTTTTAAGACATCGGGATGTAAAACACAAAACTGCTGAGCTAGTGTTTTAAGTAGGGTCGGCTTATGTAGGCAGAACCGGCATTTCTAGGCAAAACCGGCATTTCTAGGAAGAGCTGTCGTATTTAGGCACAGACGGCATATATAACAACAGCCGGCACATCTAGGCACAGCCGGTATTTCTAATTATACTCGGCATATGTACGTGTATATGTGCAGAATACGTC